GTGTCCAATAATTTGGTGTCGAATCGATCGGTGTCGAATCGTACTGTGGTCAAACGGAACACGCCCGCTCCGGCTCAGCAAGGACGCCGAAAAAATTATGTCTTCCCGGTATAAAAAGGTCCGGGAGATGCTCGAAGCGGCCTACAAGAAGGGTTTTTCCCTCGTCGGCGCGTCAAGAAAAGAGGTCGCGGACTGCGGGACGCAGGTCGGTAAGTCTGGGCTTGTCCCGCAGGCGACCGCGGCAACGACTCTGCCGCCAAAAATGGACTTCCGGGGGGTCCAAACAGAGGAGGGGGCGGATGTGCTCTTTAGGGAAGATTCCCCTCTGGACCTCCCGGAGGACAGATGTGTCCGCCTTTTGGCGGACAAAATCGAGGAGGCTATGGAGGGGCGAATCGTCTCTGTCATTAGGGGAGAGCTTGTCCCTCAGACCTCGAGCGAGCCTGCAGCCGTACCCGCCCCGACCACCTGGGCGACGGTTGTGGGGCGCAAGGCGCGAAGGAAGAAAGAACCCCCCCCCTCTTGAAGAAAAACAATGCCCTCCCGCTGCTCCCGTTGGCGCGAGTCAGCGCACAGGGGGAGCGGAAAGGGCCAAACTTGGCAGGCTCCCCACTGGAGCTGCCGTCCTCCTTACCGTGGGGGAGGGCAGCAGTTATGCCGAAGTTATGAAAAAGGCGGCGGCCGCCGTTAATTTGAAGGAGGTCGGAATTTCCGGTTTCCGGATAAAAAGGGCGGCCAATGGCGGCATGCTCCTCCAGATACCCGGGCCTGGAGGAGCCAAAACGGCTGACGCCCTTGTTGAGAGGGCGTCTAAAGCGTTGGATGGCGTAGAGGGAGTGAAATTCACCCGTCCCATAAAGCACGCGGCAGTCCGCGTGCAGGACGTGGTTCCTCCCCTCTCCGCGGCGGACATTGCCGCCGCATTAGCGACGGCAGGTGGATGCCAGCCCAGTGAAGTTCGCACTGGGCTGGTTCGCTTTTCTCCTGTCGGGTACGAGACCTTATGGGCTCGTATGCCCTTGAGGGCAGCCCGGCGGGTAGTAGGGGCGAAAAGAATAGAGGTGGGGTGGTTTAGCCTTCCCGTCGAGGCGCTGGTAGCACGGCGTATGCAGTGCTATCGGTGCCTCAAGTACGGGCACGTGGCACGCAAGTGCTCCGGTGTTGATCGGAGCACGGCGTTCTACCGTTGCGGGGGGGATGGCCACCTTGCTATCACATGCAGAGCTGCTTTCAAGTGCATTTTGTGTGCAAGCCGGGGGCAGCCAGCGAACCACCGGATGGGCGGCGCAAGTTGCGCCTCCATACCGGCAAAACAAGTAGCCACCAGGCGGGGCGCCGGAGTGCCGGCGCCTCCGCTGCCACCCGGTAGCAAGGAGGGCGGGGAGGTGGCGGTGCTTGACCCTTCCCCGAAGAAGAAGAGGAAGCGGTGGGCCCGCAGTGCTGGGTCCGGCGAGGACTCCTCCGGTTGCGAGGAGGACGGAGAGGGGGTTTACCTCCTCTCCCCGGTGGTAAGTCTGGCCCGGCTGTGGCCGGAAGAGAGCGAGGCGCGCGAGGATAATCCTCTCCCGTCCGCCTCCTTTGAGGACACAAAGCCCGCCGCAGGCAAAGGGGGTAAGCCGCTACGACCTCCTCCCCAAGCAAGGAGCCCTCCGGCCTTTGGAAAAAGCCTGAGACTGGGGTGAAGGGGAGTAGGGACGGCGCGATGCCCCCTTTCTCTTTAAAAGGAAAGTGTCCAAGACCAGAGACCGCAAGTTCGCTGGCCCCCGGACAAAAAAAGGCGCGGCGCAGAAAACGCCGGGTTCAGGGGGAGGCTCCACCAAGGAGCCCTTCTTCAAGCGGCAGAGAGGTGGCAAGTCAGCCTCCCTTTCACCGGGGAGAGAAAAGCCGGGACTTAAGTCCTCTAAGCCAAGCAAATAGGCTCGGTTTGGGGGCAGTTCCCGTGCTCGGAGTGGGGGGGGTCACGGCTCGGGCGTGACCCCTGGACCCAGCCTCTGTCAAGGGGCTGCTTGGTCGCGGGAAAGGGATACGAAAAATTGTGTTGACCCTTTCTGACTTCGGTCACGGCGGGCGGAGACTTGGCGTGGCAAGTTGGGGAACTTGACTCGCCACTGCACAAGTCCTCAGAAAGGGGCGGCTTGAGGAGGGCTATGGTCCCTTCCTCCTGCCGCAACCCCAAAGGTGACGGCGATGGGGGCGTTGTCTTTTGGGGACAAGTCTTGGACTAAAGGGGTCCTGGAGATGTAATAACCTTGCGGCTGCCACAGGCTCCCCCATTATGTCCGGTGGAGGCCATTGAGGGGTTTTAGTGGGTGCGAATCCCACACTCCCCGCCCAAATCCTCACAGGGCGGGAGTGCATAATGCATTTCCCCTTATTAAAAAAAAAAAAAAAAAA